CTAAGCAAAACCCCAAAACCCCAAAACCCCAGCAAGGCAAATTTAACGTAGAGGCATTAAAAGTTAAATGAATTTAAATGATCAAATTGTCTTGAATTTGACACTATTGAATTTATATTTCCTTATGTGAGATTTCATTCATCCTGTATCTATTGATCTGTTTTTGCTTAGAGCAATTTTTTCCTAAGTCCAGATTGAAGTTTTTCCATTAGTTGAGGAGTGGCGTGATCTTCTTGAGCGAAGGCATAGCCATTTCTTCTCATGGTGGATGACCTAGTTGGGACTGGAATCTTTTCATAGAAACTCTTCTCTTTCAACATTTTAAGTTCTTCCTTATTGTCTTTGTAATTGATTATTTAATAGGTAACGTAGGTAGTGATCTTGTCCACTGTTGAGGTAAGGAATAACATAAATAGTAAAGAGAAGTATGTTACTGGCTGACCCATTATTGGTCCAAAAAGTCCAAAGATTTCTGGGAATGAAATGATTTGACTTTCAATAAGCAAAACAAGGAAGTATACAAGTATGCTGAGGAAAACAAGAAGTTCACACCAGAAGCCGAAAATGTTCAAAGAATTCAAAATCTTCATATTAGCAATAATAACCACTCCAGCATATACAACTGATCCTGAAATATAAAGACCATTAGTCTTTCCTTCTTCATCTAAACTTACTTCCATTGCATATAGACCAACAAATAGAACAACAGCTGCTGAGAATGCTCCGTTAGCAAACCATAGCCAGAAAACTCTAGTTCCGAAGCATTTATTCTTAAGTCCGATATCGTAGGACTTAGGGGTAGTTAAGAAGTATTCCTTAGTATGTTGGAAGTCAAAGATGGCATACCAGACGATAGGAACTGAACTGAACATGATATTGTATAGTTGATAGATGAATGCCTCATATAATGTTTAACCTGAGAAAGCAGAGAAAAATCCAAACCAGTATTGTGGAAGAACGAATAAAGCATTCTTGTAGAAATTGTAACAGACTAAGAAAGCATTTCTTCTATAAGCCTCACGTCCATGAACGAATAATAGTGGCTTTAGGAATCTGAATTGTGATATAACAAAATCTGCACTTCTAGCAGCTTGCTAACCCTCTAGACCTGAAATACCAACACCTACATGAGCAGTGGTGATCATATTGACGTCATTTGCACCGTCTCCGATAGATAGAGTAGTTTTTAGAGGGAATCTTTCTCTGATAACAGCCACAATATCTGCCTTTTACTTAGGTGAAACTCTGCAAGCTAGAACAACATCTACCAAATCAGATAATTCGAGGAATATTTTCTTTAGTGGGTCCTCCTTGAATATTATATTTAATGAATCACCAGCTACTATCAAAGCTTTCTTGTAAATGAGCGAGGAGATTGCTTTGGCTTATCCAATTGAGTTGCTGATTACCACATTCAAGTCTCTAACATTAGTCTCAGTTATTTAATATTAGTCCATATTATTATCAAGTAGTCCTGATGAGTAGCCAATATTAATTGCAGTTTCAACTTTATCTCCGGTTAAAACCCAAACCTTAATACCAGCATCTCTCATAAATCTGATTGTTTCATCTATTTAGGTTTATTATCACTTCTTATATTAACTTACTAACTCCATCTTAAAGTTTATCTTCAATAGCAGTTGAACCAATCAAGTCCATTTGTTTCTCAATTTGTTCATTAATTTCAGCTAGTTTCTGATCTCTATCACTAACTGATGCCATTGCACCTTCAAAGAGTTGGTTCCTAGAATATATTCAAGAATTGATTTTTTTACCATTGATTGTATTCGTTTTCGTTTAGATATTTCTAAGCAAGCAATAAAGTTCTAAGCCCCTCCTCAGCATATTGATCAACAAATCCTTGAGTAGTGCTCAAGGTAGGACTAGTAGCAGGGTTAAGTCTAGGTAGAATAATAGAATCAGCACCTTTACAAAGTAAGAGAATTCTCCCATTAGAATCTTAAACGATAACACTCATTCTTTTTCTAGTGCTGTTGAATTCCAAGATGTTAAGTAGCTTGTACTTTAGAATTTGGCCTCTGAAGTCAACAATCATGTAATTTTCCTCATCTCTCTTTTTAAAGACTGCTCCAAAGAACTTAGCAGCATTTACTAAGGCCAGTTCATCTGGTGATGAAGCGTTGTATTTACCTGTCCTTTCATCAAGAATGATAGTGTGACAGAGAGCTAGATGGAGGACAACCTTTTCAATGTCTTCGTAGTTTACTGATGTTTTGTTATTGTAGTGATCCCAGAAAGTTTCATCTTGGAAATTCACATTTTCAATGGATTTAGCCTCAGGGTTAGTTGCTGTAATATTAGTAAGAGCATAAGTTACTTACGATTAGACATTCCATAGGAGAAGTTACCAGCGGAGAATTTTTTAAATTCCATGATATTTTGAGTTAATGTGCCAGTTTTATCTGAGAAGAGGTATTCAATCTAGCCGAGCTCTTCATTCAAATTAGAAGCTTGCACTCCAGCTTGCTACATCTATTCGTCATCAATCATATTGGCATCCCAGGAGATGAAAATGGCTTGAAGGAATTTGACTACTTCTAGAGTAACTAGAAGAGAGATCGGTACAAAGTTGCTATATTTTTGTCAGATTGGTTAATATATTACGTGAAAATGAGAATCCAGGTACCAGTTTGCTTAATGATTTAAACCAGAATAGGCCATGTGCTTGCATCTAATTACAGACCCAGATACTGGTCTTCAACAAGATCTAGCTAATAGATAGTTCCAATGATCGCACCGATAAAGCAGCAAATCACTTAGACTATAAAAACGATAAGGATTTGCTTATTTGTTTCTCTCTCAATTCTAGACATCTTGAACTTGGCTCCAGTAGAGTTCATCATAATTTTAGTTTAATGACCAGCATAAACAATGAAGCCGATCACAAACTCAGTATTTTTCAAACTACTTCCTCTAAGGACAATATTCTCACTGCTTAGTGATTTTCTCTTGTCAGCTCCAAAGAATATTGTGCCTTCAAATTTATATATCAAGTCATTAGCCTCCTCACAGACCAGGCCGCATCTAAAAGTCTAGACAGCATTAGAATCTTCGAACTTTTTATTCAGAGCTTTATCAGCAATCTTGTGCTTTAGGTTGGTCTCACCATCAAGGTTTTTTGTCTCAACATAACAGACACCTTTAGATTCTGAACTCTTTAGGAGAACAAGATCAGCTGGGAAGAACTAATCTTGTTTGACTTTAACTACCATTCCCACCTTAAGTGATTTCCAATGCTGTAATTTGAAAGTTTTAGTTACTTGATCAAAAACTTCAACTTGCTTGAAATTCTCAGCTTTATCTGATTTGTGTCTCTTATAGTCTTCAAAGATATCTTTGATCATAGATACAATGATGACGAATGCTAGTGGCATCAACATGACTGGTTTGCCTCCAGAGATGGAAATTATAGGAATCATTTGCATGAAAGCGATGAGTAAAAAGTAGACGTTTGCAAGTTTTGAGAATTACTCCAAAAGATTCTTAGGCAAAAAAGTAAAGAAGGTGTACTTTGAAGTTTTAACTGAGTTATCTCTGTATCTTTAGTGATGTCGAAGATATTCTGGTGTATACTCTTCTAGATTTGGAAATACCTAGACCTATCTGATAGTCGGGTCTTCTATTGTCATTGAATTATGATGAATATACTAAAACGAATGTGAATAAAGTCAATCTAAAATAGATTTGGTGGGGGATAGAGAATAAATGGATTGGTCTTACTTTTCTTTCCTCAGATGATTGAGGGCTGTTCTAGTTTTGTATTGTTTGTCTTCTTGAATCAGGAGAATAGTTGATTGATCTATTCTAACTGTCAGGATCGTTCCTATCTAAGAGTGGTTCCATGATAGTCTTATCCGTATGCATATTTATAATTGCTATTTATCTGAAAGATTTATAATAAATACCTTCATATCATCATTAGTTATATACTTTTTCTTAAATCACTCAATCTTGCAGTCAAGGGGTTTTGGGGTTTTGGGGTTTTGGGGTTTTGGGG